TTCCCGCTGGCCCCGCCTCCTTGGTCTGACTCCGCCTCCCCTGTGAGCCCGCCTCCCTCCTCTGACAGCCTCCTCCTGCCCACGCCAGGCCGTGCCTGAAGCCCTCACCATATCCTCCAGCCTCTGCTCCAGAGAAAGCCGCCTCACACCCTTGAGATCCACCCAATGCCCAAGCCCAGTGCACTGGTCCAGGGTTGGCATCTCTCTGTCACCCTGGAACAGCTGCGTGACGCCTGTGCTCGCAGAACCCTGGCCGGGCCCTGGGTCACCGTGTCCATGGCGGTGGCTACACAGTCACCTGGGAAACAGTGAGCTGGCGGGAAGGACAGGGCACAGGGCACCGAGGTCCCGGCCGCCTGGGCGTCCACCTTCCCAGGAAATGAGGCTGCCTCTGGTAGCTCCAAATGGCCGGGGTGACGTGAACAGAGCTCGGCGCCTGCGGCTCTGCGGCAGCCGCCCAGTGACAGGCAGCGCTACGCATATCGTTCCCGAGAAAGGTGCGACATAAATTAAAACTCCTTTTGCTCAGAGCCAGTCCTGAAAGTCCATGCAGTGAGAAACACTTCTCACTGTGCACAAACTGCGAACTGTGCACAAAATTAAATTTTGGGATTAAAATCTGCATTGCTGGGCCTCCTGCTGGTCGCCACCATTTCACTGAAAGAAGACATTACTTGTACCAGCAGCAGGGAAAATCTCCGATCCTGGGTCCTAGCCCAGCTTCACTTCTGCACCTCCCAGTCCCCGAGCACTTCTTGCATACACATCACCTTTCCCTCACAAATCTCACAGCACCACCTCACCGCTGACCACACCAATGAGGTATGAGCAGGTCCACAGTCTGACCCAGTGGCCCTTTGGTCTCCTGCAGGCCCAGGCCTGAGAAGACAGGGCACCTGTCGCCAGCCTGAGAACAAGCCAGCATGTAGGATCATCTACTGTTTTCTGATTTAAATTTTTTTTTTCTTGCCAGGAGCAGGGGTGTACTCTATAATCCCATCCCTCTGGGACGCTGAGGCAGGAGGATCACAAGTTTGAGGCCAGCCTGAGCAACTTAGCCAGAACTAGTCTCAAAATAAAAAATAAATAGAGGGTTGGAGTTGTAGCTCAAGGGCACTTGCCTAGCATGCAGGAGGCCCTGGGATTCAGTCCCAAGTTTAAAAAAAAAAAAAAAGAGGAGGGAAGAAAAAGGAAAAATGAGGCCATATGGAGTTCAAATTTCCCAGGATGCCCACAGCCCTGCCTTATAAGGGTTCACTTGCCGCTCTGGTGCTCTTCTGAAGTCAAGCTTATAAGCCAGCAGACAGCCAAGTGTGTGCACGCCTGTAATCCCAACACTCTGGGGGTCTAAGGCAGGAGGATTGCAAGTTCAAGCCCAGGCTGGATGTGTTAGAGACTTAGAAAGACCTGGACTCTGAGTTTTAAAAAAAAGTTTAAAAGGGCTTTGTGTGTAGCTTAGTAAAGGCCCTAGGTTCGATCCCTAGTACTGAGGGAAAAGAAACTGAACACAGCCCTGAAGTTCTGTTTGTTTTTGTTTCGTGTGAGACACGTGCTCAGTACACCAAGAGCTGGCCTTTCAGCTTCCGTTTTCCCAACTTCCACTTCTGAAGCCAGTGCCCCCCAAAAGTCAACACCAGCCAGACACACACAATGCTTTTTATTGCTGTCTAATCATTAGAATGCATCGTCCCTCTCTTCCATTTCCTAGATCATTTTGTTGCTCAGGTGACGTAAAATCACTGGGACTTCTAAAGAAAGGCAGAGCAGGAAGGTACCAGGGAAAGAAAAGGTGGAGCAATAGGACTGTACCGCGTAGGTAGAGCTCCCGTCTTGACACAGGAAGAAGCCAAAGTGAACACCGTCGGCACAATGAATCAGAACGAGTCTTCTTGTAGAAAAGAGCACTGAGCTCCCAGGTGGAGCAGAATAAACTAAGTGCTTTCTGTAAAGGGGAAGTGGTGAGGTGGGTGGGGACCCGCTGTCCCCAAGTGCAGAGGCTGACACCATCTCCCACGCCCCGGGCATGCACACACACTCAGAACTGCATGGGGCTTGGAACTTCTGCAGCTCCTTTCCTAAAAGCCAGCCTGGCCTTCATATTGCTTAGCCAAAGGGTCTCACCTGTGAGAACAGGAAGTTCCCAGCCGGATCCTGGACCCCAATTTCCAGGGCAATGCCCTGCTCGGAGAATAGAGCTTGGGAAGCTGCCATTATTATGCCTGCTTCTGTTAATCTTCTGGGTGCTAAGAGCCAGATTATTACCCCTCTTTCACTCAAGACTTCTTGCCAGCCTGAGAAATCCCTCAGAAGTCCCAGCTCAACATCCTTTTTGCATTTTATTTTGAGACAAATTCTTGCTAAATTCCCCGGGCTGGCCCCAAACTGGGGACCCGCCTGCCTCAGCCTTAGACACTTGCTACCTCACCTGGCTCTAGTGAATTTTGAACTAGGATTTGAAGAGCCCATGAGAACCTCCTGTCAACCTCACTGTCCTCCTTGACTCACATCCAACCTTCCAGGTACTAAATGTCCCCTGGTCTTTGTCACAGCCCAGCTGTCCCAAGGATCCAGGGGGCGCTCTACCCCCTCCTGCTTCTCCCCAAACTTTACCTGCATTTTGCTCTAGGTTTCCATCAACTTCTTTGAGGAAAGTTCCATCGACTTTTGTTTCCAGACGCCTTCCCGTGTTTGTGGCCGGAAGACACAGCACGGGTGTTCGGGTCAGGACCGGATATCTGGCAAACCAGCCGTTGGCGAGAGGGGCCTCGCTGGGACGAACCGGGACTTCAGAGGCCAGAGGCTGTCCCTGTCGTCCACCACCACTGCCCAGCCCTGCAGGGAGATCCCTGGGGGTAAAATCCTGGTCTCCCCCTCGGAAGCTGCGGATCTGCTCCTCTCCAAGGCCTTCCCAGGCTCAGAGTCTGCACCTCCCTGCAGTGAGCCCCCACGGACTAATAATCCAACACGGCCAAAGCACCCCACGGCTGCCAGCCACAGGGCAGGACAGGAGCATGCTTGGCCAGGTCCCACCCCTTGAGCGTCTCTTCACAACCCACGTCACGGCCCCACGGAAGAGGCCCCTGGCCTGGAGGGTGATCT